TGTCTAATGGGATGATGGGTGTATGATGCGAAATGATATGGATCTTATTGAACGGAACTGATATCTTGTGGCAAATTCAATAACAATGTGGGGAACCCAATGCTGCCAACTCTTTAACATGGGATTATATTTATCACCCATTGATGGTGATTTTTTGGATGGTTTATTTATGGGTTTACCAGTTTACCACTTTAACGAATTTGTAATTGGATGATGGATAATTATGGGTAGGTTTTTCTGATGGGTGAGATGATGGGTTCACAATATGGATCCTTTCTGGATGATGTAATTATTTAATGGTGTCCCCATGGTTAGAACATGTGATAATCCATTTCCCCAATCATTTTAAACACACCAAAATCAATCATGGTGAATGTAGGGGATAAACACACGTGCATAAGTATATATGACCCAGGACGCCCAAGCCCCCCCCCCCCACCCATGGTCCCCCCCCCGTGTGGCCTGGGATGGTGGTATGGTTCTTCTGGTCCCCTGTGGCCTGTGGGGGTTCTTCTGGTCCCCCCCCCTGTGGCCTGTGGTGGTGGTATGTTGGTATGTTGGTATGTTGGTATGTTGGTATGTATGTATGTATTGATGAATTCCGTAGGAATGTAGTTTTTGTGGCATGTGCATGTAAAGACGTTGCAGCTGCACTTGCCTTGCATCAACGCGAGATCTTGGGGGTCAAATCTATTTTGCGCCGTAATGGCGCTTTGAAACCTTTTTCGATTGCTGGTTGCTTGCAATGGCCCGGGTGTCTCAGCAGGCTCTGACGGACGCCCTCACTGCTGTTGGCCAGGCAGGGGGGGACACCAACAAGGATGTTGGCCTACTGGAGGAGGCTCTGATCTCTACGCGAAACTGAGTGCGCTCCTCTGGAAGTGTGAATACTCTGGCAGGTCAACAAGGTGCGATGGGCAGATGCTTAGGGCCATTACATGCATGGGTAGAAAGTGAACCTGATCTAGCTGAGCTTCCTCCCGATGTCAAGTCAGACTTGTTGTGGAATTTGTACACTTCATGCATTTCGAGAACTCAGGGTGCTGAGGCGTTTCCACTGATCACACAAGACCCGGAAGCATGGAACGAAGTAGTGTTGTCATTAGGCTCTTCTACCCACAGGTTGCAATCGAAGCAGATTGAAGTGAGGCAGGAAGGGATGGTGCACTGGAAGCTTCTGGTGTTGTGTCTGGCCCTTATGGCGATAGATCCTTGGATTCCTTCTGGTCGCCTGCGCTTCTACTCCACGGCGTCAGGCACGTTGCTGCTGGGCGCTGGAGCTCTTTGGTGGTATTTGGGGTGGAGCACGCCCAAGGTTGATGAGGGAACTCGATCAACCCCCATGAATTTGGGAGTTAGACGTTCAGTACACTTTGCTGAACAACCACGCAGTGCGGATTTGTTGCTTCATGAGCATGCAGGGCTTCCTCCACTTGAAAGTCTGTCAGGCCCGATTGATGTTGGACATATACCTCCAGGTGCTCCTCCGGTCCCCTCGACTGAGCAGCAGGCTGGTGTATTGACAGCAGCGAATGAGATGCTTCCCACAGCGGAACTGGCAGCAGGGTCGCGAATTAGACTGATTAGCGTGTCGCCTTATGTGTCTTTGGCGGGTCAGGCTGGAGTGATTGAAACCACCAACAGTGGCAAGTGCAACATCAAGCTTGATACTGGCTTAGGTTTGAAGGATGTTCCATTCACTGCGCTGGTTAGGGAGACAGGTGTGGAGGAGACTGCGGTGGCTGCAATGGGTGCATCCACAGTGTTTGCGCCTTATGCTACGACTGGACATACAACGAAACTGCAGGCACAGGCCAGCCGCCTGAAGGATGCGTTGACCAAAGCGGCAGCCTTGAACTCCACAGTACCGAGCTGGGCAACTCTCTTTTGGCAGGCGGTCAAGAATGAGAGGGACATCTATAGCCTTGAGCCTGAGACATGGTTACGTAGGCGAAGGCACGAAAGGGCCTCCGCGAACGGAAGAGCTCAAGAAGCAGCTACAAGAGATAGAGACGCTTGGAGGACCCCTTCATGGAAGCGGTGGCACCTTTGCACGAGTTGCGGATGTTGGAGTGGGCGAAAACCCTGAGGCGATGTCCTGGCACTTGAAACTGCCAGCGGACTTGCAGCGTGCTGCTCCTGAAATGTATCGCAACATTCGCGCTGATGGTGCAGTATCTGCCAGAGCCTGGGTCAATGAGCAGCACCCCACTCCGGAGTTGAAGCAATCCCCAGCCTACCAAGACCTCTTCACTGCGGCCACGATCATTGACTTTGAACTGGCTGAGTGCAAGACTGAAGGGGCCATTATGCACAAGCTGGCCACATCTGACACCTTGGAGATCCACTTGCGGAAGTTGGCGGCCTATGTGTACCTGAAGAGGACCAAGGATCGCACAGGAGCAAACCGCATGTTGGGTGTCAGAGCCCCTGGGTCAGGAGCAGACATCGCTCCCAAGTGGCTGCTTGATGATGCAAATGCTCACTCAAAATTGGAGTGGCAGAGGTCTGAGCGCGGTCAGAAGATGAGCAGGGTCGACTATGGCCAGCGTGGCGGAGGGTCTGGCTATGCTGGAAAATTTAGAGGCCGTGGCAAAGGAGCGAAAGGCGGAGGAAAATCAGGAGGGGGGGCTGGCAGCGGAGGGGCTGCCAACAAGACTCAGGGCTGACAGGGCCCATGGCAGGTGGGGGCTGATGGCTTGCCTCCTTCACCTGCGCAGCATGAGCAAGCCAATGCAGCTTCTCAACTTGAAGCAGAGGATGTTGGGGAGGCTGCAGAATTCATTGAACAGCTCAAACAGTGGGCTCTTTTACCATTGCCGCTGCCTGATCGTCCTGAATGGAAGCAGCGCAAGTCCGCTCGCCTTCGCCTTAGACAGAAGAGGAGGCTTGAGGTCTGGCGGCTTGCTTCGAAGTTGATTCGAACCATCAACCTTCTGGACCGCGGCAGCACATCCACTTCACAGCTGACGTCACCTGCAACTGGGCTAGGACGGCAAGTGAAGGCCACAGATGTTAGGTCTATTGCAGTGCTGCGTTTGACTCGTGAATGCGCAGTTCTTGCAAGGGCACGCCGGGGCCTTGGTCTGACAGGCGTCCAACACTCAGCCGCTGTGGCTTCTCTGTTGAAGCAACCCATGGATGAACTTGGCTATATGAAGTTCTCTGCAGTGAAGCAGGTGCCCCTGGAAGCCGAGAAGATTGTGGAGCCCAAGGAGAAAGGGCACATCGACATGTTGGCAGCACTGCCACCGGAGGATGCCACGTTCTATGCATGTGAGGAGAATGTTGTGGACCGAGCTGGCAAATGTGAGCTCTTCTTCAAGGATGCGGAGGTCAGGTTTGGTTTTGTAGGTGGAAGTGAGGCTGAATATATCAAGTACCTCTCTCGGGAAGATGTGCAGCATTTATGGGAGTGGGACCTTATGTCCAACATTAGAGCCATAGCAGGTGTCTCAGCGGTCCCCAAGAAGAACCCAATGCAGCAGCGCAAATTGATCATGCAGGTCGCTTCCAACTACATGTTCTCCGATCCGTCCTGCAGGGCACATTTAGGAATGTTTGGAGGTGCAGCGCTTTCTCGTTGTTTTGTCCCCTCTGATCACCTTGGAATAGCTCTGTGTGATGAAGACTCGGCGTTCACCTTTGTCAAGGTCCCAGAATGGATGACCAGATGGCAGGGTGGTCCTCCGGTGAAAGCAGCTCAAGTTTGGGGGCTGCTGCGTAAAGAACTGAAGGACAAGATCCTGGATCCAGCTAGCACCTTTGTCTCTCCACGGTATTTGAGGCTGGCTATGGGTGGATCTCATTCGGTCTATATTCTCATGAGGATCAACATGCAGCATATCGGTAGGAGCATGCTCAACTATGTCAATAGGCTTCCACTGGGTGATTCTAGCGAACATGTCCATGGCACCGAGCAACTAGTGGAGGAGGAACAGGTTGAAATGATAGGTGATCAAGAATGGGAGAAGAGACAAAAGCAGCGGAAGCAGTTGTGTCAGGTCTCCTCATCTGGCTTCACAGTGCAAGAGTGGTGCCAGGCAGTTCGAGAAAGTCAGCATGGAGAGCAGCGCATGTTTGTCGTGATGCATTTCTTTGCAGGCGATAGGAGGCCAGGTGACGTACAGGAACACTTGACACGCATGTGTGCTTTGCATGGGTTGAAGCTCCTCATGATTTCCATTGACCTTGCCTCGGATGCAAACTGGGACTACACAAATCCTGAAACCTTCAACAGCGTGGTGCTGGGTGGCCCTCCACGCTCCACAGTTTCTCGCGCAAGGCATGTGAAGAAGCGAGGTGGACCGAGACCGGTCAGATTTAGGAACTGTTTGTGGGGGCGCCATGACTTGATGCCATGGGAAAGGTCCAGAGTGGAGGAGGCAAATGTTTTGTGGCTCAACTACATGGCAACATGCGAGGGAGTGTCTTCGCGTGGTGGAGGTCACCTTTGGGAACACCCGGCAGACCCAGAAGAGGAGCCATACCCATCGGTATGGATCACACCAGAGATGCTCAACATGGAAGCAAGGACAGGGGCTGATAGAGCAGTTTTTCATCAGTGCCCTTTTGGAGGGAGTGCTCCCAAGCTGACATGTCTGTCAGGAACGCTGGACGGCCTGAAAGGTTTAGACGGCATCAGATGTCCTGGAGTCAGCAAGGACCATGTGCATGGCATCTCCATCGAGCGCATGGCATCAGGCGCTTTTCATACCAGACGGCTGCAAGAGTATCCACCGAAGCTGTGTGAGGCTATGGCCGACATGGTGCTTCAGACGTTGCTGAGGATGCGAGCTGGAAGCACAGGTCCTACAGGGGCACTACACTTGCGGGAGCATGTTGCGGTACCAAGAATCCCAGCCTGGAGCACATGGGCAGCGCAACGAGGTCGCGGCATCGTTATTCTGAACGAAGCTAGCTCCAGAAGACAAAATGTGATCTTGGACAACAAGCAGAGTGCAGTGTATGTGCACGTGGATGACACAGTGATCCTCTCGGATGGCAGCATGGGTCCAATGTTTAGTGATCTCATTTTGAAAGAAGTGGTGGACGGCTTGGAGAAGGTAGGTTTCAGCGTGTCTCAGCAGGAAAGAGACAAAGAAGTGGAAAAGGTGGTAGGATATGAAGTGTGCAGGTGCCCGGCCACCTTCATGTTGCCCAAAAAGAAGATGGTGCTGCTGACAGAAGCCCTGAAGTACGTAGCCAGCTGCAGAAAGGTCAACACCAGGGTGCTTAGAGCCTTGGTGGGAGTGTGGATCTTTGGCGCCCTGCTCCGCCGTGAGTTGTTGAGTGTTCCTCATTCAATTTTTCATTTCATGGAAGAGCACGAGAACATGACAGTGGTGTGGTGGCAATCAGCGAGAGAGGAGGCCATAGCGATGGCGAGGTTGACTTGTTTGATGAGCTGTCATGTGGGAGCCAAACTGCATTCCTGGATCTTCGCAACGGATGCCATGGGAGCCAATGAGTTTGACCATGGTGGCTACGGCATAGTCACAACGAAAGCGATGGAAAAAGAGCTGGCAGAGTTGGTGCGCAGTTCAGAGACACAGGGAAGAGTGATAGCACAGCTTGGAAGCCTGGGGGGTTCAAAATACCCTCACAAACCGCTTTGTCCCACGGTGCCATTCACCTTGTTGCCGGCATCGCTCTTTGCTCAGGAGCGCTGGCACCTTGTGGAGGCGGGCCGGTGGGCGTTCAATGACCACATCACGCTTGGTGAGTCGAGAACAGTGCTGAAACTTTTGAGAATGTTGGCAAGTTCAGCTGAAAACCATGACAAGGTCATATTCACGCTTCAGGACAATAGACCAGCCGCTTGCAGTATGGCAAAGGGCAGAAGCCCATCGTTTTTCCTCAACCGAGTGTTGCGGAAGAGAGCAGCAGTGTGTCTGGCGGCCAGGCTGAGACACTTTTTGCCGTGGGTCGAGTCAGGCAAGCAACCAGCAGATGAGGCATCAAGGACATGTTTCAGTTAGCCAACGTGTGCAGTTGCATACGTGGGCTTCACCCAGATTTTAGGTTACGAGTGAAGGAAGAGACTTTGTTGGGGTACCAAAAGCATCTAACCCCCTTCTTGGCGTTTTTGCAGAACAGATGGGAACTGGCAGTTTTGAGTGCGGAGGATGTGGACTTGTTGATGTTAGAGTACCGCACGGAGTTTGACATCACTAGGTCTCAACACACACAGTTGGTGGCTTCCATGGAATTTTTCATGCCCCACGTGAAAGGCAAATTGCTTTTGAACCGTGAGGCAATCAAGGGGCGCATTGCGGGAGCTCCAATCCAGCATACGGTGCCCTTGACAAGAGAGTGTGCATTCCTGTTTGCAGCGTGGCACAGCTCGCGTGGCTTCCCGCGCTTAGGTGCTGCAGTCCTCATACAGATGAACACTGGTTTGAGGCCGTCTGAGATGTTATCGCTGGTCAGGGAACATGTATACATTCCTTTGAATCCTAGAGAAGCCATTTCAGTGCGTTTGGGAGCAGTGTACTCTACCAAGGTCAAACGTGAACAATTTGTCCTAGTTCAACCTAGCCAGTCCCCATTTGAGTACAAGCTGATCAAACTACTGCATGCAGCTACACTCCCAAACAACAAGCTCTTTCCTTTTTCCTATGCTGCATATAACAATTCCTTCGGCTTGGCGGAGAAACATTTTGGTTTGGATTTGCATTTGACGGCACACTCGGGCAGAGCAGGGTTTGCCACTAGCCGTATTATGTCTGGCGCCGAAGCTAAGCAGGTCCAAGCAGAGGGTAGGTGGGCGTCGGAGTCCAGCTTCCGAACTTACATTGACGTGGTAGGCAGTTTGCACACCCGTGCCCAAGTTGAACTAGGGCGACTGCAGGCTGCTGCGACTTGGTGTGAGCAACACATAGAAGACTACTTTGCTGGACTGGCTTTGGTGAATGGCACCAGCGCGAAGCAGGGCAGACAGTGTGGAACATATGAGGCGCCCAGACTTGAGGCTGAAGGAGAATCGCTTCCTCATTCCTCAGGCGCCAGAGCACTACACAGGGTATCAAAGGCGACAGTGGCGAGAGGAGCAGTTGCAGAAGCTTCTGAGCCCGCAGCCAGCAGCCGACAAAGGCTCCGCACCAAAAGTTTCCCAAACACAGCCAAAGGCAAAGGGAGTGGAAAGGGCAGAGGCAAGCTCTTGGCGGCTGGGAGGCCGTCGCAGTCGGTTTTCGATTAGCTCATGGTGCAAGTGGATTTCACCAGTTCTCAAGAAGATTTCTGGCCTCTCTTTGTTGCTATGCCTGGGATTGTTCTCTGGGCAGCATGGCCCAGTGCACCAGGTGGCACGGGTGATTGGGGCAGTGGCTGACCTAGGTGAAGCCACTTCAGCAGCAGCAGTGTCAGCCCTCAATGCCACCAATGCTCTAGCCTCGTCTGCTACAGCACTTGTGACGGTGGCAACCAGCAATGGGTTGACGGCAGGCGCCAATATGTGGCATGGCATTGACTTGGCTGACATTCAAGCTGGCCGTTGCGCAGGCTCAATCACCGCTTTGAGTGGTCCAGTTTTGGAGGCATGGCTTCACACCACTGCAGCGCAGGCACATTTCCCGTGCTTGGATGGCAACCTCACTGAACGCCTGATAGCCGCTGTGCAAGCAGTTGAAGCCTCTCTGCCTTCTACTCAGGCCATTTCAGAAGACTTCTCCCTGCGTGGCACTTTCACGTCTCTGCGTATCATGGCAACATGGCAGGATTTCGGGCAAGTTTCTATACAATTTGAGGCCAGTTTTCTTTTCTTCACCCCCATTTGGTCAAACCCTCTATGGACTCAATGGGGCTGTAAGCTTGATTCAGAACGAGATCAGATTTTGAAAGCACTGCGATTGCTGTTATTAGATCTCCCAGCAACGCCACCGCAGCGCGCCTATGCTGGTTTGGATCTAGAAGTGGCTCTTTCTGCGCCAACAGCATCTCAGTGGGCATTAATCTGGCACTATGTGTTTCAAGTTTGCAGTCGTTTCCATGGGGGATTTGGGCGCGTTGATGCTTCAGCAGTGCTGCGTCTATTTTGGCCAAAGGGTTTTTACTATTTGTTTGTGTATGTCTTGGTGATGGTGTTGATGATGGTTGGTGTTAGTTGGAAAAGGTGGAAGCATTGTAACAGTTCTTTGGAGTTATCTCCTATGCTGCCGTGGGATGCCTTTGAGATTGAAGCAGAGCTTGAGGTGCCAGTAGGAACGACGATAGATCTGACCCGCTCTCCCACGGTTTGTCCAATTTCTCCGGTGTCAACCAAGTCTCCAAAGACCGAGGGTTCCAATGAGTCGTTCATGCTGGTGCGTTGATAGCACCGCAGGAGGCGGGTGAGAAGGGTGAGAAGTTTGAAGATGCGGCCGTTTTCTTTTCTTTGAACCTTTGACTGCTGAGCATGTTCCAGAGAGCTCAGTGGGATCAAAGGAGTATCATAGAACACAAAGAATGGATCATCATCAGCTTGTGGATGAAAAACAGAAAGATTGCAAGTGCAGCTTACTTTGCGGGAGAGTGGCATGAATGCAGTCACTGAGAGTCCGAAGCTTGGGTGGTGAGTGGTGGGAACTATGAGTGAAATCACTTGTAAACAAAATGATGAATTCCGTAGGAATGTAGTTTTTGTGGCATGTGCATGTAAAGACGTTGCAGCTGCACTTGCCTTGCATCAACGCGAGATCTTGGGGCCACACCCTCCCGCCGCTGGTGGGGTGAGAAGGGTGAGAAGTTTGAAGATGCGGCCGTTTTCTTTTCTTTGAACCTTTGACTGCTGAGCACGTTCCAGAGAGCTCAGTGGGATCAAAGGAGTATCATAGAACACAAAGAATGGATCATCATCAGCTTGTGGATGAAAAACAGAAAGATTGCAAGTGCAGCTTACTTTGCGGGAGAGTGGCATGAATGCAGTCACTGAGAGTCCGAAGCTTGGGTGGTGAGTGGTGGGAACTATGAGTGAAATCACTTGTAAACAAAAGTAATGTAATGTAATGTAATGCAATGCAATGCAATGCAATGTAATGTAATGTAATGTATGTATGTATGGATGCATGCATGAATACATGTATGTATGTATGTATGTATGTATGTATGTATGTTGGTATGCATGCATGTATGTATGTATGTATGTATGCATGCATGTATGTATGTATGTATGTATGTAATGTATGTAATGTATGTAATGTATGTAATGTATGTAATGTATGTAATGTATGTAATATATGTAATGTATGTAATGTATGTAATGTATGTAATGTATGTATGTAATGTAATGTAATGTATGTATGTATGTATGTATGTATGTATGTATGTATGTATGTATGTATGTATGTATGTATGTATGTATGTATGTCTGTATGTAATGTATGTATGTATGTATGTATGTATGTATGTATGTATGTATGTATGTATGTATGTATGTATGTATGTATGTATGTATGTATGTATGTATGTAATGTATGTAATGTATGTATGTATGTATGTATGTATGTATGTGTGTATGTATGTTGGTATGTTGGTATGTTGGTATGTTGGTATGTATGTAGGTATGTATGTATGTATGTGCGTGTGTACGTAGGTACGTAGGTACGGAGGTATGTAGGTATGTAGGTATGTAGGTATGTAGGTAGGTAGGTAGGTAGATAGGTAGATAGGTATGTATGTATGTGTGTGTATGTATGTATGGATGGATGCATGTATGCATGCATGGATGTATGGATGGATGGATGCATGCATGCATGCATGCATGTATGTATATGTGGTCCCGTGTCCCGTGTTCCCGAGAGGGTGAGCTTGGTTGACCATACCATTGTGGGGGGGGGCAGGGATCCGGAGTCCGGACTCATATATATATTTATATATATAATAAGTATATGTATATATATAATAATTATATATAAGTATATATATATATACATATATGTATATATATATATATACATATGTATATATATATATATATATGTATAGATGCATACATACTTGGGACGATACACTGGGATGGGTAATACAAATAGTGGATGAGACATATCTATCAGTAGAATTTCAGAATAAGTATGGTGAATATGTAGGACAACAAACATAGAAACAGATCGGTTGGGGGTGAAGCAGACATGGATGATGTATGGGAATGCGGCAAAACCAATAACAAACCATCCCAGACATTCCATTGATTCAATGGGTCTCATTTCAACAACATAGGGGTAATCATGGTTTAAGTTTGTGTAGCACCATGGTACTGACAGAAAATAGCCCCTATGAATTAGCATACAGTTAGAAACGCATAAGCCCAATGCCATAAACCATCTCCAATAATGCCATGGTGAGATCTCAACGGTTTATGGCACGGTTGTTGATAACACAGTAAACATCCAAAAAGCTATGGAACCCACCATTTTCCAGGGCTAAATCAACTATAGCTAGGGAAGTTTCCATAGCTATGTTGAATGACCAAGGAATGAAATCCCCAAGTACCTCAATAACCAACATTGGCAACTGCATGATTTAAAGTATAGTTGATAACCACCTCACTGACCGAGTTCTTCTATGTTCTTCTGTAAAAGATGGTTCCACAAGACTGCCTCATAATAGACTTGGTGAGGGATGTCTGGTAAAATGTCTGGAATCATGTGTATATATATATATATGAAAATGTGTGTGCAGTTATGTGTATGTATGTGTATATATATTTATATATATATATATGTATATCTCTTTTTTTTGTGTATTGTGCATGTCTTTTATCATACTCACAGCAATGACAACAAATAGAATGTGTGACATATATAATATATATATAATTATATGCATATTATATTGTCTATTTTTTTGATGTGTTGTTTTGACAGATCTCCTTAACGTTAACACGGTGAAAAGCAACGCCAACAGTCGACATGTAAAAACCGCGATTTTAAATGCAGCAGTAATGATGACAATCGATGGTTGTTTCTGACGATTTGATCGGAACCCTCAACTATGACTGTTAAATTTCTTCGTGGGCTGCGTTGCTAGAATTCAAAAATTTGGCTTCAACAAGTGCTTTTGTGCGCTTTCTGGGCTTAAATTTTCGCTTTTGGGACCGAGGGGTGCTTTGCAAGCACTTCTTCAAGTTTTAGGCTCACCTACTTTTCATTTACATATTGATTTAGTGGTAAATATTTAACAACAAGTTGGTTTCACCTACTTTTCGCCTACTTCTCACCTACTTTTATTTACCTTTCACCTACTTTTCACTTACTTTCTGTTTCGACATGTAAGTATGCAAAGTTGCTAGTTTCATCAACTTTTCACCTACTTTTCTTTTGCTTCAAATGTAGATAAACAAAACTATTGGTTTCATTGATTTTCACCTACTTTTCACCTACTTTTTGTTTCAAAATTAAATAAGTAAATTTTCCACGTTTTCTGCATTTCACCTACTTTTCACCTACTTTTGACTTACATCTTGCTTTCATGGTATTTTTTATTTAAAATTGCTGGTTTCATTGACTTTTCATCTACTTTTTCACCTACTTTTCCCCTCTTGCTGTTCATGGCAAATATTTGAAATGGTTGGTTTCATCTGCTTTTCACCAACTTTTGTTTTAAAAGTCAAAAGGTTGAATTTTCTATGTTTGCTGCTTTTCACCGACTTTTCACCTACTTTTCACCTACTTTCACCTACTTTTCACCTACTTTCTATTGTTTTGCAATTTCTCGGGAAATTATTTGCATTTGGCCTTGGGTGGCACTGTGGAACACTTTTCACCAACTTTTCACCTACTTTTCACCTACTTTTCACTTACTTTCCTTTGACGCCACAGCTTGAGTAAAAGCACTTCCTGGGTTGTGATTTTTTTTTTCTACGTTTCCCCTACTTTGTGGCTTCCTTCTTTGACATGTAAATAAGGAAAACTGGTGGTTTCACCTAGTTTTCACCTAGTTTTCACTGATTTTTTTGTGTTGAATTTAATTAGGTAAAACCGATGGTTGCACCAATTTTTACAACTGTTCACCTACTTTTCACCTACTTTTGATGCTGTGGCATGTAAGTATGCAGAATTGCTGGTTTCACAAACTCTTCACTTACTTTTCACCAACTTTTCACCTACTTTCCATTTACACCTTGCCTTCCTTTCATGGTAAATATTTAAAATTGCTTGCTTCACCTACTTTTCACCTACTTCTCACCTACTTTTCACTTGCATCTTGCCTTCATGGTAAATATTGAAAATTGCTGGTTTCACCTACTTTTCACCTACTTTTCACTTACTTTCTGATCTTAAATTTAACTAAGTAAATTTGATGAATGCACCAGCTTTTCACAAACTCTTCGCTTACTTTCTGTTTTACTTCTATGTAGTTTCGGCCACCACCACAAGAAACTTGGGCCTCGGGTGACCACACAAACACACACACACACTCACACATATAGCGCTTTATATGTCCACAAGTGCTTTTAATCTGGTGGGGACATTACAAAAGCACTTCTTTGAATCTGGGCTTCACAGCCATGTTGAAAGCACTTCTTCCAATGAAAAACAAGGGGCCTAAGAAAATTAACAACTATGACCATCGCAATGATAAGAACACACACAATCATGTGGCAATGTAAAGTTGGGTTTCTCAATTGGGTGTTATCATCAGTATGTGATGGTTTACCATGAAAAACCAAAAGATCAAATGTCAAAGGGTAGTTTAGCCCGCCACGGGGGATACGAAACAAACAAAACACTGCAACCAACCAAGACAACGTTTGGATGTGTTGGTAAAGCAATTGGTGAAGTGTGGGTGGAAGTGGGTTAGATTTCTACTAGACATGGAAATGTCATACCTAGCTATTTGCTTCGCTGGGCATGTAAGATCAGCCATGAGAGGATTGGATGGGAGCATCGGGACGAAACTAGCAGCCCATGGCCATCTCAAACGTTTTTTAAAGCAAAATTCTTGGTTGATGTTCACAAAACACTGGCATTTTACTTTCAACAAAAATCGGCCATTTGGAAAAGGATGGCAACTTCATGGTCCAAATGATAGATTTTCATGTTTGACATGGTTCACTTTCGGTTTCCACCAGCGCTGGTTCACGGCCCTAGGCGAAGTTGGCGGCCGGCAAACATGTGATTCTGACGCCTGGAATTTACCATCTCAGTGCTCCCATCAGGCACCTGGTTCTGGATCAATACCAGAGGATTTTTCGGGTTTTTGGAGATGCCCCCATCCCAAGGCCAAAAAACAGGGCCTTCGGCCTTGGATCGACCTTGAATGCCATGGCCATGAATGGGGATAAGTTCACCATGGCCATGCATGGTATCTATGATCTGTGGTGGTTGTGAAGTTGAGGTTGTTTCAGGCATCATCTCAAAGGTTGCTGGTTTGTACTTCTAAGGTGCATCGGGTTGGAATGGTTCAGGCTGTGTCATAGATTCAAGTTTGCAGTGTGTGTGTGTGCATCAGGTTCCACCGTATTCCAGTTTTGAAGTTTCCATTTTTCTGAACAGATTTCATACCCTCTGGTAATTTAACATAGCAATAGAAAATCACAACTTTTAATAGGTAAACCATCTATAAATGGGCCATTTCCATAGCAAACTGTTAGTTTACCAGAGGGTATTCTCAACCCAGCACCATAGCACCACAGGATTTCCGAATCGATGACCGCTATTTATTTGCGGTCGCCGTTCGTCGCCAGGATTGGTTGGAATGAGACAGTGCAGCAGCAGGTCTTACTGGGCCTGGGTCTCTTGGCTGCCATGGTCAGCAGAATCATTCAGTTCCTGGTTGGTGGCTTCAAACATGAATTTTATTTTATATTGTCCATAATTTATGGGATCATCCTTCCCATTGACTAACTCATATGTTTCAAGATGGTTAAAACCACCAACCAGGTTCAATTTTAAAAGGTCAACGCGTTGAAACGTGTAATCGATGAAACCCTTCAAAAAAAGTTCAATAAAATTGCGTGATATCTTCTGTATTCATTATTGTTCTGCCCACTTTTATAGCTGTTTTCAAGATAACCAGGCTTCCACCAGGCTAGTAGGGGGTTTAGAGGCTTGCTCAAACGCCTTGCAGCCTCCTATTTTTTTGTTGGCCCGTTGAATCACGAAGAGGAGTTGGAAGTGGCCAAGTTCCAGCAAGTTTCAATCACTCTCGAGTCAACGAAGATGGCTGGAAAATCTTATGAATTCATCCAAATTCATCAATAATATAATCTAAAAAGCTAGAATAGTCTTGTACCGGTCTTAAAAAAAACATTAACTTATTTTCTGTGGATCTCAGCTCAGCACCACAGGTATGGCGACTTTGATCCCCACAGCTGGTACGGCGGCAGTGGAAATTGGTCCAGCACTTGGCGTCCGCGTGGCTGGAGTGCCTTGGCATGAAACTGTCAAGAAGCGCTCCAGTTTTTCAGATTTTCGGATTTCCCAGATTTTCCCGAATTTCCGGTGTTTGTTCTGTGTGAATCAGCATTTTCATTGCCACGATTTGCCACGTATCCCTTCTTTGACACGGAATTCGCTCCAAAATTGGGCAGGTGATGCTGCAAGCAGGGCAGAACCACTCCAAGAACTTGTTGTGGTGGAGCCAGGGGGGTGATCCAAAGAACCCAGGGCTTCTGTCAGATGTTCCGTGGCATCGCGACAGGGATCACGGGGTGGAAGTTTTTGGATGGAAAAATGGTGGTTTTTGGGCCGGTTTTGCCCAGATTTGGTGATCTTGTTGGATTTAAGTCATCCTTTCCCCCTGTTCATACGAACCACCCCTCCATAAACCATGGTGGATGTAGGGGATGAAGCCACATCGGGACCATACAATGGAGGTGAGCATCTTTGGGATGGTACCACTGCTAGAAGAGATTGTTGGGACATGGGGGAAGGGATTGTACCATGTTCTTTTGATCCTGATCAAAGCGCCATCAAATCATCCGATCCCCGATTCTTGCGGAAATCCCGACCCTAGGTGGTGCCCGCAGTCTGAAGTTGGTTTATGAACCCCATTATACAACTATTAGTTCGGCCTATCTATTATATAGAACTCATCTGTGAACACCAACTGAGCCATCTTTTCGGGGACCCACCTTTCACAAAAGCCTAGAGATGGCCCGGAAGTTTCCTCACCCACCCTCGAGGTCTTTGCACGTGTGGGAGGCCCGGATACTTCAAAGGTTTCGGCTGAGGTAATGATGCTTGGTACCTATTCTGGATGGGTCGAAACCTTCAAAACAAGGCTCCTTTGGGTTCCAGGTCTATATTTTTTTTTTACACATGGACGTGCAAAAAATGTGTTATACACCCATATCCTGCGTATAATCACAATAAAACACACACATGATAATTAAATATTACATAATGTGCATATATAATCACACACATATATATATATATATATACACACGTATATGCTCGTGCAAAAGTACGTGTTATCCTGGTATAAATATGCACACACACACACACACATATATATATATATATATATATATGTATATTACACATACACATGTATACATATGTGTATAATATACTTATATGATATACACACAATTGCATATAAACACATGTACATACACACATACGTACACACACACATATATATATATATGCATACGCATATGTATACACATATGTATGCACACATGCATGCACAAATGTATACAGATATGTGCAAGTATATATATATATATATATAAAGAGAGAGAGAGATTGATATGGAGATAGATATGCACGGATTGAAATTGGCCGATAGCTGATGATGTTTCTTGAGATGTGGTACATTTTGGAGAACCGTACGAACCTACCACTCACAGTATACAGTTGGCTACAAATTCAGTTTTGGGAAATCTATGATCATTGGCCCAGATCCATGGACCCATACATGCTTGGCAAACCTGGTTGAATGTTTGGACACAAGGTTGGTGGAGAATGCTGGAACATGATATCAGATATCGCAATCACACTGGTTGCGAAGGATGACATGCTAGCAAAATACTGGTTGGTGGTTTGGAACATTTGTTATTTTTCCATAGATTGGGAATGTCATCATCCCAACTGACGAAGTTATATTTTTCAGAGGGGTGGCTCAACCACCAACCAGATGGGATGTGACGTACCCATTTTATGACAGGTTCACAGGAAGCTGTGGGCCCGGGGATGGAGCACACTGTAGGCAAATGGGTTGATGTGGGCTTCTCAGTGATAGAATTGGCATTGATTTACTGGCCAGTTCTGGTTTGACAGTATTGGCCATACAAACCACATTAATTTATATACATGGATCAAGTAGACTGATATACTTGCCACTGGGCGGTAGCAGCACATTTACGCTCAGGGAATGGAGAACAGCTAGGGTTGCTCACCGTTTGCAGTGACCAAAAACAACTTCCATCGCTCGTATCGGACACTGGCGGATCAAAAGGTTGCAACGGTGCAATATAGTAATGCAGTAGTAAATCATCCCCAATTTTACCATTTTTATGGGTGGTATAAACACACATATATATATATAAACACCATCAATCCATATGGGTGGCTCATGACATTGCTTTACTAACATTAGAGAACATTATACTTCACGTTACTTTGTGATCACCGAGCATAGCCCACTCCGCAAATTCCAGCTGGCCAGGCCAGATCCAAAGTGCCCCCGGCTTCCCCAATACAGCGTAGTTCGCGTAGATGCACTCATCCAAAGATGTGTCTACCATCAACACACTCCAACTATATACCAGCATAGCACCGAAAAAATCACACACTCACACCCTGCTTGCAGTATAACTTGTTGAATTTGTAGAATGAATTTGCACGCTCAAAGGATGTCCAAAAATAGACCGTTAAGTTCCCCCTAATCAATACTTTGCACGCCCTTATTCAATATTATCGGGTCTTATCAGTGATTATTGGTGATAAAGATTTAATGAGTGCTGTAAAGTATTAATTATACTGTACGCCCTCAATGATGCCATTATATAATCTTATATAATTGTTACTTTACCACGATCATTAGTTGATCCACCATGGTCACCGGTCACCTTCAGCCCCAAGTGTTTTAGGATCGCAGTCAGCGGGAGCCATGTGGTCATGGACAACGTCTGGGCCTGGCGTGCCGACTGCTGCCAGAATGGTTGTGGCACCTGTGCAGTGAGGTGCCAACGGTGCCATTGCTTGGGTGTACTTGGAGGATCATCCCACGAATAGTTTTTGTGGTTAACAATCTTAGTTAAGAAGTACCCATTGAAAAAATTGGTTACCCTCTGGTTATTTAACATAGCCATGGAAAATGGCCCATTTATACTGACGGACTGAAACTTAGAATGCGCACTTGGAAGCATCACTCCACACGTGCAAAACTGAGAAATTGCATTTTACCAGCATTTCGGAACTTAGAATGCGTCCCCCCACCTAGGATGAAGCTATTCGGCAATCAACAGTTAGAATGCCTCCAAGCGCATATGTGTTTTTCCAGGCAGAAACACACATATATATATATATCCTAGACCCTCCAAGTCACCATAAAAAAGGTAGTTTACCACATAATTTTCATAGTTTTAGTATTTTTTCAGGGTATTTGGAGGCTCTGGGTATATGAATGTACCTATTTGAGAATATCACATTATTTTTTGTGCACTATGCAGGTCTGGGTACTTTTACTCGCTTTCCCCATTCGATAACCTTGACAAAAGTGAGTTTCCCGTGCAAAAATTGCGATTTTGGACACATACCTGAGGTAGGTAGGCTTCTGGGAAAAGAGGACACACCCAGCCACTAATGGTGTTGAACAGACAGTGAGAATGTGGCTTTAGTAAAGGTTCCCCATCATTGATAAATACCTTATTTTTATCTCCTAGATGGGCCGCTAGCTGGAATGCCTGTAACTGTCACTGATTGGGAAAGATGTTTATATGTTTTTTTTTAAACGGCAAAACTGGAAAATTGCATTTTACCAGCATTTCAGAACCTAGAATGCCTCCCCCCACCTAGGATGAAGCTATTCGGCAATCAACAGTTAGAATGCCTCCAAGGGCATATGTTTTTTTCCAGGCAGAAACACATATATATCCTAGACCCTCCATGTCACCATAAAAAAGGTAGTTTACCACATAATTTTCATAGTTTTAGCAATTGTTCAGGGTATTTGGAGGCTCTGGGTAAATGACTGTAATCAGGTCAACTTATCATGTCTAGCCCTTGCTCGTCCTGGAAACATACATACTTGGTATGTATATAGAAAGTTTTTTTGAAAACATGATGCAAGCCCACCCATCCATGCTAGAATATGCTAGTGCCGGCCATGTACCTTGCACCCAATGAGGTTCCCTGAGGCCATGTGTTTTTTTTAAGCTACGTATCTATATATTTATCTTTTTTAATATATGTACAGTATATATATACACACACCGACGGACTGAAACTTCGAATGCTACGCTCCTTTCCTGAGAGTAGTTTACAGACAGTTAGAATGCTCCATGATGCCCCATCCGTCATTTCAGTATATCTTTATCTATCTCAATCTAAACACTTTGGGTCAGCATTCTAACTGTCTGGTCGCCGCCCGGGGCTGCGCCGCATTCTAAGTTTACGAAAAAGGGAAATTTGGAAAAATGGGTCGCATTCTAAGTTTCAGTCCGTCAGTATATAGATGGTTTGCCTACTAAAAATGGTGATTTTGCATGGCTATGTCAAATAACCAGATGGTAGGTGATAGTTTAACCATTCATTAATCACTTACGAATACGAACTGGGATGATCCTCCAGGTAGTCAGGTAGTGCCATGGACAGGTTACTGTGGCAAACCCAATGCCATGAACCATCCCAGCAACCAACCATGACTAGGGGTCAGTTTTTTCTTGGATCTAATTAATACAGGACACCCAATGTCATAAACCGCAATCGGGGATGGTCAAAATTGGGTTTACCACATGTGTGATTCTACGCTGTCACATGCATGGTCTTAGAGATGCCTGGTTGTGAATGACTGTCATGTCACGCACCTTTCGGCTTAAACCTTTATAAGGCCCTTGAGCTTTTCGTGGCGACGAACAAAAGGATCCAGCCGAGATTCAATCTGGTAGCGGAGCAGGTTCCGGAGGGTGATCCCCGGGATTTGACTCTCACGGTAACTCGCAGATCCAGGACGAGATTGCGTTTGTGTGACAGCTTAGTGCTGATCAAAGGACCCGAGACCGCTTTGCTGATCAGAAGAAGGACTCTATCAATGTCCCTTGCAGGATTGAGGTATCAGTCCGCGACCTTTGGCACGGCACCTCAAGAGACCAAGTCTGGTTCGTACATCTATACTCTGGTAGCCCTAGCGGATTCCATGAGTGGGGGTTCAGGACCCGAATTCGTGTGGAGTTCCTCAAGCAGAAGATCAAGAAGAAGGTTTTGGAGCACAGGACCAAATCTACGTCAACTTCACCTGAACGAGGACGTGCTGAGAGGAGTCCCGTCGTAGGACCAGGAGATGGTGATGACGCCCAGGCGACTGATGCGCCTGGTGCACGAGGGGCTAGCGATCCCGGAAGCCCTGAAGATGGACAGACTGGACGTGATGGACAGGGAGATGGTGAGCAGGAGGAGGAGCGTTCTGACTATGCTTCACCTCGTGTTGCACCTAGCTTCCCTGGCTCAGTTGAGGATGAACAGCTTTCAGGGGAGATCTATTCCCGGAGGGCTGAGTTGGTGCAAAAGGTGTTGGAAGGCCTGGGAGGTGATGCCTACCTTGCCGCTCAGGACCTTGGAGTTGAAACTTTGATGAAGGATGGTGGAATTGAGACTTTGATCGCAACTTTGAAGAAGATGATTTTCCCATTATTTTCCCTTTGCAATCCTTGGAAAAGCCAAGGAGCTTTTCCGAGTAGGACAGATGCAACATGGCCCCTTGTCCCGCCAGACAGGGCAGTCTGTGACTTCCTTCATTTCAAGACGACGCAGGTGGTGGCGCCAAGTGAAGGAGCTCGATTCCAACATGCTGATTTCCGATCAGATAAGCGCCGAGCTTCTCATAGAGAGTGCTGGTTTGACCAAGCAGGAGCAGCTCATGATCAGAACTGCTGCCAAGAACCATATACGTTTGATGACTACGCAGCCATCTTGCTTGAGCACCATGGGAGAATTCATTTGAAGGATTCCAGGTCCCTGGCGCCGCAGTACAAGTCCAGTACCAATTACCCCCACAAGAAGGGACAATCCAAAGGGTCGCAAAAGCCTTGGTATGGAAGCAACCGCACAGCCCATTGGTCAGAAGCCATTGAGGAGACCTGGCATGAGCCAGAGGAGTATCACGGAGAAGATGAGCACGACGAAAACTACGATGAACATGGGTATTTGGCCCACAACGATGAATCAGAACAGCCCACTGAGTGGGACTACGTCGAAGATGATGACACCGCAGCTGCCTTGGTCGCCATGGCCGAGTGTGACCACGATGAGACACCAGCTGAAGAGCTGGATGATCTTGCAGAAGCTGCCCAACAGCTCTATGTGGGTTACATGGCCACTGGCACCCACAAGGGGAAGACCAAGGTTTCAAAGGCAAGGATAAAGGCAAAGGCAAAGGAAAGCACATTTTCCGAACACAGCTCAGTGTACAGGATCGAGTTAAGCGTTTGGCAGAGCTGAAAGCTCGTCCCAAATGCCTCCGATGCGGGAGTACAGGACACTGGGCAGGTGACCCCATTTGCAAATTCCCCAGCCAGGGGAAGAAGCCGCCTGTCAAGCCCCAGGCAGCCAAGCCTGGTGTAGGATACATGGCAATCAGTGATGAGGAGTCATCTGCAGGTGAGTACGGTGTTTTGCATGTGCGTTCACGTCAGGAGAAAGAACACTCTGCGTACATGGCTTAGGACCCCAGTTTCCAGACGTTCTGCAAAGGCACCTCCGTCAGCAGGTGGATCAGCCGACTCATGTGATTTCAGCATGGTCAGTGACAACCGCAAGGACAGGGCACGTCGGACTCGTGTCCCAGCATCCGCACAGGGGAGTGAAAGCTTGCCTGATGGGTCAGACAACAAGTTCACGTTTGGCCAACATGTTGGGTTGTCCTATCATGAGGTTTTGCATAAGTACCCTGGTTATTACCTATGGGGAAAAGAGCAGAAGTCACCTAGCAAGGGTTTGGCTGACTTTTTGGATTGGGCCACTGAGAACTAGGAGGTTGACGGTGAATCCAATGAAGTCATTCCACGCATGTTGCCTTTGGAAGAAGCTTCGTCTATTGCACGGTCAAGTCATGCCCCCAAATCCCCCACTTTCCAAGTGCGGCAAATGCACCCGCTTCACAGCCTTGGGGAGCAATGCCTACATCCAGGTCAAGACGTGCTTGGACTGCGGGCACCAGACCAGGATAAAGCGTGAACAGGTTTATGCTGAATGACCTGAAACATGCAGACATCAGGACTTGGACAAACGTGGAAGTAGCAAGTACACTGCACGTTTCTTTTGCAAGCAATGTGGTACGTTTGTGGATGAAATGCCCCAAGCAGAAGCTAGGAGGAGACGTCAGTTAGGACAAGACATTGCCACACTTCCCTCAAGTGCAATTGACACCACTGAAAGGGTGTACCACATGATGAACATTCTCCAACAAGACCTTGATGTGAAGCTGCAGTCAGGAAAGCCTGTGCGTGCTGCCGTTGTGCATGGGATCCTTGCAAACGCCGTTGAGGCTGCCCGAGAGGCAGACCCCGAGCACATTGTCACCCATGGATGACCAGATTGTTGGTCCTGCTTCGCGTGTGGTTGACATTTGGAATGATGATGGTGTTTGGGCAGTGTTGGATGAAGGTTGCAACTCAACTGTTTGTGGTTCTGAGTGGATGGAACGGGCAGTTGAGGCATATGCTGCTGTAGGGTATGATGTTGTGAAGATTTCTGACGAAACCAAGCCTTTCAATCAAGGGTTTGTCTGGAGTCACCAAAACCCATGGCAGTTACCGCATCCCTCTTGCTCTCACCTTTGTCAACAAAAATCAGAAATTGCCTAGTATCAAGTGCATTGACACGACTGAAAGACAGAAAATTACCCCCAAGCTTGAAGGAGTTGAGACTTTCTTTGAGCGCGCCAACTGCTTTCCCAGCCATGATCGAGTCTGGCAGCAACCCCGGTGCTGATCTCATGTGGCAGGGAGTTTGACCGCGGAATCGCGGATTTTGTGGAGCCCAACGCCTACAGGGTTCGCGCTGGCAGATCGGCAGCAGCTTCATTTGGCCTTTCCACAAGGACCACGTGGTTGTGAATGTGCTGAAGTTTGGGGATCCCAACCATGACCCCTCACTTCTAGGCCATGTGGGTTGCCACCCTGAGATTTTGAAAGGTTTCTTTGCCACTACAGAGAGCCAAGCTGATTTGGTTGAGATGTTGCGCATCTTGGTGGAGTCAAAAGACAGCATTGGCAATTGGCATGGTGGTTTACTGCAACAAGAACCGCCACCGACCGCTCTGTTGGAGTGAGTTGGTTGCTTGCTTCAGCGTATGGAGCAATCACAGGTGATGATGTCAGTGTGACACATGCCAATGCAGCCGTGTCGTGGTCTCAGATGTCTGGGAGTTGCAAGGGTGAATGCCTGGAATGCCGCCATGAGTCTGCCGAAGTTCGAGAAGCAGCCAATGTTTGTGTCCAATCACTGGTTGACTCGTACTTGAACGAGAAACCAGATGAGGCTACACTGGTCAGAGGTGAGGAGATGTTTGAGGTGAGTGCAGTGCCGACGAACAGAGTCGCCCAACGACCTGGTTCGTACGGAGCACCAGTGATGAAACGACCCAAGGCTGAAGACAAGCAGACCTCATAGGCTGCATCGCCAAGTGCCAAGATGACGCCAATCAAGGCACCAGTGCCCACCAGGACGGTGACCACGAGACAGGCACCACCAGAGTTCAAGCAGCCACCGCCTCCTCCGCCGCTGCGAGAGGAGAGGAAAGAACCGTAACCGCAATTCGGTCAAGGTCGCCTGTTCGCCGTACAGCACCTGGCTCAGCACGAGACCGCTTGCCAGGAGCTTTGCCGGCAGCTTTTCCTTGGCTGGGCTATGCTTCGTCGAGAGCTTCGAGTGTCAGTGCTAGCCGTCGGGAGGAAGAGCCACCCCCGACGAATGAGCTGCTTGAGACCATGAAGGCAACGCAGAAGCAGTTGGATGATCTGAAGAAGGAGAAGGAAGAGACGTCGCACAGACGTCGGCGACGTTCGCGCAGCCATTCGCGCGGGCGCCGTCGACGATCCAGAACAAGAAGCAATTCGCGCGATTCGAGGAGAAGATGAACAAGGAGACTTAAGAACTCCCTCGCCGCCGAGAGCTCAGCTTCGTGGACGTCCTCCTCTTCCAAGGCCAACTTCGGTTCCGGAGACTGAGCAAAAACTGGCCGAAGCAATCCGGATATGGCGGATACAGCGGATATGTGGGAAACCGCTGGCCTGCTCACTGCATGGAAATTTCCGGTGCTGCGAACTAGCCCTGAGGCATGGAATCGGCGAGTTCAAGTTGGCAAGACACCTCTGTGGAGTTGCTGGACGAGCTGTACTTCGCCGAGAACAAGGGATGGGGCTTCAAGGCGCGATGCTTGAGGTGGATTGGCCCCTATTTCCCTGGGTCTGACCGTCTGGCCCAGCTTCTAGGGAGCGTGCAGCTTTGGAACAGGCAAATCACGAGTCCAACATCAAGATCCTTTTTTTGGGAGATGATCCAGCGCCTCGTCAGTTCACCACTGAGCTGATGAAGGGTGAAGTGCCATGGACGGTCACTACGTTTGACTACGTGGCAGTGGGCCCTGACTGGTGTGCGTGAGCCTTGCACAGAGCCACCAGCTTGGAACCAGGAAGCCCAGTCAAGGATCATGATCTTTGCACCCGGCGATGCGCTCACCGAGGAGGTCGACGATGATCTTGGTGATGAAGCTGGCGATGGAGGAGATGGACATCAGCCTGATGATCCCAAGGGTGATGGCCCTGGTGATGAAGAAGTGCCACCAGAAGAGCCAGAAGATGAGATCCATGATCCTCCAGACAGGGAACGCAACCGAGTACCCTGGACAGGAAGGTTCAGCAATGCTTGGTGTTGAGTTGCCAGCTGATGGAAATGAAACCCCAGTTCAAGAGAACCCCAAAAGACAGATTTCCGATCCAATGATGTAGGTGACCACCCTGCATGTGTTTCAGATGCATCTCAGGACTTCGACAAGCAGCTGACCGCACAACCACCTGGCCAAGAGATCGTTTTGTCACCAACTTCGGAAGTTGAGGATGACGATGTGGTGGTGGAGCGTTGTGGCCCACCTGTGGTGGAAGCAATGTACAGTGTCAAGTGTGGAGTCTCGTGCTGCACCATGAACAAGGGTGAAAAACAAGCGTTTGTTGCAGGGTTGTCCATCATGAATGAGCAAGACAGGGTTTTGACAGCGCTCGTGAGCCAGACCCCACTGGACTCACGCCACATGATTGTTTTGAAGGATTGTCATTTGCCGTGGAAAGCTCATGATGTAGTTGAGACCCTGGACATCCAGGAGGATTGGACAAAGACACGCAAGAAGTTGATTGAAACAGTTTCCCAAAAGCCACCTGGGTTGATTGTTGCATATGTTTCCAAAACCGACCGTTTGGATTTGTTGGGAGATCTTTGGATTGAATCAGACCTGTACAACTGTGGAGCTGTTGTGTTCTGCCCATATCATGAGTTCCATGATATCCACGACATATGCATGTCCACCCGTGGTGATTTGACCGTTTACCTGGCAGGCCCCACTGCAGCAGACCTTCAAGAGGAGATCCTGACCTGGGATCAGTCTGATGTTACCCCAAAATGCTTTGAAGATACCAATGGGACTTGCCATGCTTGAGTTGCTTTGCAAGACGTCGGAAGAAAGGTATTTGAGCAGTTTTGCACGTACCTGTTTTGTTGGTGAAGCAATAAAAGATGATGAGGAGGACATTGAACCCTCATCTGATGACATGCAAGTGCAACCCATGGTTGGTTCTGTTGACATGCAGAAGCTGGCACCAGCTGAACAAGAATCCCTAGCACTTGAAAGATGCCAAGCCACGCCCCAGAGAACATCCGGTAGGACCCAAGTTCCAATTTGAGTTTAATGCCTGCGTAGGCGTAGGGATGGATGTTGCAGAAGCCAGAGATGACGCTGGCAACAAGTATTCCATACTCAGCTTTGTCGACATCTGGGTTCCACTTGGCTGAAGTTGTCAAGGATGGTTAGCCGTTGGGTTAGCTGGGCCGGCTGGCCAAAACAAGTCACCTGTGACAGGGGTATGCATAACCGAGGCGAGGTACAAAGGCTTTTAGCCTCCCACGGTTGTGAGGTTATCTTTGCACCGTTGGAGACACCCTCAGCCATAGGAAAGGTAGAAAGGGCACAAGGTGTGATGAAAGCGATCCTCAGACGAGTGGTTGCTGACGCTGAGACTGGTGAGAGGGATTTCAGTATCTGTTTACACGAGGCTCTGAGCACCAAAAACCGCATGAGCAGAGTCAACGGATACAGTCCGTCCCAATGGGTATTGGGCAAAAACCCAAGGTGCCCAGGCAGTATGACTGACCTGGAGGAAGCTGGAAACGTTGGAGTGTTGGAAGACTCACTTGACCCGTCAGCCCGTTTTCACCTGAACCATGCAGCCTGCATGGCAGCTCAGAAAGCATTCGTGCACCTGGACCTGCGAAATGCAGCTGTACAGGACAAAACCTCACCGAGGTCTTTGGCTTTTGCATGAAGGTGTCCCCGTTTTGGTTGCCGAAAACCAGGTTGGATCAGCAGATGAATCCAAGACCCTGGCATACTCACTGCTGAACAACATGCCTGAAGTGATTGTGTCTGGCCCTCAACAGCAGAAATACCTGAAAGTTGCCGACGAAGCACCGTCGAGCTCAGCAGCAGGAACTATGGTGCCAAAAAAAGTTAGTAACTGGGTTATAATCTAGGGTTATATCCCAGTTACTAAGTCATAACTTCTTAGCTAACTTTTTGTAACTTTTTTTTGCTATAAAAAAGTGTCTTTAAAAGTGATCAAATTTTGATCTTTTTGATGATTTTGAGTGTTTGCTGCTTGAAGCGTTTTCAACTGCTCAAAAAAATGCCAAATGGAGCGGTTTTCAAACCGCTAAAAGCAACTAAAAGCCATTTTTGTTGGAACAGCCGTTTTCAGCATGTCAAACACTATAATTAATCACGTGTTAAAACCCAGACTGTGAATGAAGATGTGTTCATGTCCACTAGAGAGGATGTATTGCTTGAAGAAGTGTCCAGGTGTTCACTTTACCTTGGCTAAATGCTGCAGAGTCCCTTTGACAAAACTCAATTTTTGCAGGATATCCTAGATGTCTTCAACGTAATTACAATATACATCAACATACCCATACCTGCCAACAAATGCATGCAGTATTCAAAACAGAAATGCAGCATACCCCTCTTCATAAGTGCAATCTTCCTTTGGAGCAACGCAGTGTGTTTTTGCAGAACAATATCCCTATGAAATATCAAATGTTCCTTTAAAAGATACACCATGCCCTTTGGAGGAGTACAGTGTGCATTTAACAAAATTTCCTTTGAAAGGGGTCCTCAAGGTGAAAGGGGTCCTGGCCTAGAAGCCTCCAAGATTAATTTCGACCGAGTTTTTGCCTTTGTATGAAAAACTCGGTCGAAATTAATCTTGGGGGCTTCGCGCGCATAAGGAACATTCTTGGCCAGGACCTCTTTCACCTGGGGGGCCCCTTTCAAAGGAAATCTTGTTATTTCCACATGTCTAACCTTCCTTTCAAAGGAGCAGTATCCCTTTTAGAAAAGCCAATATTGCCGCACAATATGCAGTATTTTTGACATAGAGCATCGCTTTCAAAAGCGCAATATGTTTTGAAATGTGAGATTCTTTCAACCGCTACATTGAAGCGGTTTTCACCGCTACATTGAAACCTATCAACCGCCATCCACAAACATATAGCCAGAGTTTTGTGATGCCCTTACCCAAGTATAAACCAAAAAGACCAGTTACAGACACTAAATGTATTTGATTTCATCTTGGGCATCTTTTTTCTTGCTCTTAACTATGAAGTGCAAACCGTAGTGACAAACTGAAATGCATTCCATGCTGAAAAACAAAAACATAATTCTCGTAGATCTAAGTGCTGTTGGGTTTTAATTGGAATGCATTTCAAACTGAACACAAGAAGAAACAGAATCATTGAATTCTCATAGATCTCAGTGCTGTCAGCTTTAAATTGAAATGCACTTCAGACTGAACAATGCAATGCACTGCAATGCAATGCAAAGCAATCTTGATACTGGAAGTGAAAAAACTTTCATTGCACCACCATGTGAAAACAAAATCCCTGATCCAAACCTGTAAAGGCGTTTGTGGTATACTGGTGGTATACTGAGGTATACTGAGGGTATACTGGTGGTATACTGGTGGTATACTGGTGGTATACTGGTGGTATACTGGTGGCAAACTGGTGGTATACTGGTACACTCCCTAATCCAATCTAATCTAATCTAATCTAATCTGATCCAATCCAATCCAATCCAATCCAACCCAATCCAATCCAATCCAATCCAACAACCCCATCCAATCCAATCAAATCCAATCCAACCTAATCTAAACTAATCTAAGCTAATCTAATCCAATCTAATCAAATCTAATTCCAATCCAATCCAATCCAGTCCAATCCAATCTAATTCCAATCCAACAAAACCAAATCCAATCCAATCTAACCTAATCTAATCTAATCCAATCCAACCCAACCCAATCGAATCCAACCCACTCAAATCCAGTCAACCTAATCTAATCCAATCCAATCCAGTCAAGTCCAATCTATCTAATCTAATCTAATCCAATCCAGTCCAATCCAACCCAATCCAATCCAATCCAAGCCAAGCCAATCCAATCTATCTAATCTAATCTAATCCAACCCAACCCAATCCAAATCAAGCCAAGCCAATCCAATCTATCTAATCTAATCTAATCCAATCCAATCTAATCCAATCCCTCAGTCCAGTCCCTCACCCAAGCCTGTAAAGACCTCTGTGGTATATGGGGACGTCTCAAAATGAGGCGCGCCCTTTTCGACCCCCAAAACGCTACTTAAAAAAAAAGGGTTCGCCTCATTTTGAGACATTCCCATATGGGTGGGATATATTGGGATGTACTAGGGGAAACTGGGGTTTATAGTCAGCAATGTCAATATCAAAAAACGTACTCATTGGCTGCCTTTGTTTTTTCATAGTCTTCTGGCATGTTTTCAAAAATAAGTCAAAAACAAAATTGCTTAATCCATGCCCCAAACCCCTAACCTTCCCCCAAAGATACCTGTTTTTCCTTGGTTTTTACATGGTTTCTAATGGAACCAGAGACCTAAAGCAAGCAGAAACAATCACAAACAAATTTGCAATGCCTAAGGGGGGAAAAGTGGCAAAGAGTTAGATCCTGCCACTTTTTTTGCCAGTCCCTCAAAATAACAACGAACCAAGAAAGCAAAACACCAAGAAACCAAAAAAACGAACCTAAAACAAGGGGAGGGGGTCAGACGCAGTTTGTTGTTTTTTTTTTTGTCTTTGTAAAAAGAAAAGAAACTGCAAAGGTGAGATTGCAAAGAGCAAACTAACCCATTGCAGGTGCATAAAGCACCTAAAAAGGCGCGCTCCCACAGTGGCCTGTTCTGTTTAAAAACCAGTTGCACATTCCCGCAGCCATGGAAGCGGTGAAAACCGCGCATTGTTAAAAAAAACAACTTCGAAGCGGCTCAACCGCTATAATTAGAAAACATATTGTTTTCGATACAATAAAAACAAGTGTTTTTTCAATTTTTCTAAATTATAAAAATGTGACAACATAGTTGATATTTGCTTATCCCCACCCTCTTAACCATGGTTTTTCGGGGAGGGGGACCCCTATATGTAACTTACATTTTCTGGGGGGGGTTGGGGGGGGGCAGAAAATGTAACTTACAACCCCCCAAGGTATCAAAAATACTTGGTTTCGGGACGACATTGGACGATATTGGACGACGGGCAAATCGATCAAACATGCTTTCAGCCAATGGCGGATCCGGGAACATACAGTTGGAGAGGGGAACATTCGATTGGTGTTCCTAGATCGAACACAGATGTTCCTGGATCGGCCAGTGGCCGATCAGGGAACATTCACGCTGACGAAATAATAGGATATAAATATAATAGGAGATTTATCGAAATATATTAATATATCGAAATGATTCCAAACACCGTCGAACACCTACAAAATGTAATAATTATTGCATTTTCTAGGTTACCTAGGAAATGCAATACAATTTCTTTCGTAACACCTAAAAATGTAAGGCTTATATTTTTAGGTCCGATGTCAAAAATGTAATATTACATTTTTGACACCCGAAAAATAGAGAAAATGTAAGTTACATATAGGGGTCCCCCTCCCCTGCTAAAAGGGTGGGGATATTTGCTTCACTTCATAACTTTTCATAACTTTTGGTATAACTAAAGTTATAACTAACTTTTTTTGGCACCATAGAAGTGGTCGAGGACAAAAACGTGAAACAAAAGACATCCTGGAACCCTCAGAGTTCGAGTCCAAAGATAAGACGGGCAAGGCTGCCCGGTCTGCACCCAAGACGCCCGGAGCATTGGAGGGAGATGTCATGATGGCAGATGTGGAAACGAAGGATCACTGGAGAATCAGTGACACTTGTGCGATCCGAGTTAATGTTGAGCCAAGATTCAAGGCTTACAACCCCCTCCATGAGGGAGGGGTGCCAGACGGATACCTTGCTGGTTTCGCGTGCAAGGTGCGGAAGATCTTCACAGATGGTTCTGTTAAGGACTGCGAGACTGTTCTAGGTAATGGTAGTCCAGTTGAGTCTCAGGCGTGGACCGGTTTCACCTTTTTCAGGAGGGCACAAGACCCTTTCCGCGCCATGGCTTTGCTCGAAGGTGACGCTGGAGAGGACTTCGCTAAGTTTTCGGCATTTGCTGCTCAACGTGTGGGTCCCGATGCCGCTGCTGCAACACAGGAAGGAAAGGTCGCGAAGACCTTGAACATCAACGATGTCGATGAGGAAACCCGTAAGGGTATGCTGGAAGCAAGGCAGAAGGAATGGGACAAGTACCTTTCTTTCAACGCCGCTGTAGTGGTGTCCGGCGCTGAGAAAGCGCGACTGCTTTCGGAAGGACATATCAAGTGATTCCCAGCAAATGGGTGGATACCATCAAGAATCAAGAACATCCATGAGATCAACAGCCCGGACTTCAAGCCGATCTACAAGGCACGACTTGTCAATTGTGGTCGAGAGCGTCAACAAGGCGGAGATCCGCTGCGACAGCCTAACGTCAGAACCGGAGTCGCATCTAGTGCTGTGTAGCTATGCTGCTACGCGTAAGCTTCGGCTCCGAACAGCGGACATCACGAACGCCTACTTTCAGGCGGCTCCGATGACGAGGTTGCTACTTATGGCCCCGCCCCGCGGAGGACTGACAATGTTCGATGCTGAGATTCCACAGAGGACGCGGTGCTGATGTGCCGAGTCCCGGTCTATGGAACGAAAGATGCTGGACGAGGTTTTTATCTGCGGATGAACGCCGAGATCCTGGCACAAGGATTTGTGGCTTCTCATGGCAGATTTGCCCTGCGACATACTACTTTTTCGGCAAGGACTTGCATCTTGCCGCAATGATGTGCGCGCATGTGGATGATCTGCTCTTCGCCTACAGAGACGAAGGCAAGGAAGCCGTTGATGCAATCCTCAACCGCTTTTCGGTTGGGAAGATCGAAGAAGGTTCGTTCCGCTACTGCGGACGCCGTTTTTCTCAGGATGATGATTACACGATCCATGTGGACGTCCGAGACAACACTCGGAACTTGAAACCAGCTGCAATTGGAAAAGACTGAAAGATGAATGATCCCCTGACTCAGGAGGAATTGACTTCTCTCCGGGGTGTGGTAGGAGGACTGGCCTGGATCAGTCGCTATGGTTGGGCAGATCTTGCATATCGAGTGAATGATCTTCAGCGATGCTGCCATTCCAAAAGCACAGTCCAAAGCCTGAAGGACGCCAACAGGGTTGTAGAGCTTGCTTTGCAGGGATCCGAAGTGACTTCAAGATCTCTTTCAAGACTGATTGGATTGATTGGAACGATCTTGCGGTCGTTACCTTTTCCGATGCCAGCTTTGCAAGCGAAGCTGAGTACAAGAGCCAGCAGGGACGTATCCACTACATCACGTCCCGCAGTGATGTGAAGTCGGGCGAGCACAAATTTCACCATATTTCACCTGATTGGGTTTGGATCGTCGACCCTGAAGCGAGTTTGTCGAGCCACACTGCAGGCAGAGGCATATGCTCTGCAGGGATCGATCAAGTCTGGATACAAACTTCGAGCTTTGCTTTGTGAACTGACTGGCCATTTGAAAACAGTCAAGGAAGGGTATGAACAGAGTCAGCGTGCGATGTTGCATTTGTATTTCACAGATTGCCGCTCCCTGAGCGATCACTTGTCATGTGAAGTCGCACGTAAGGTGCAGGACAAGCGCTTGGGTATTGAGCTTTCCGCACTGCGACAGGCTCTGTGGATCAATGCTGAGAAGACATCCGCGAAGTACCACCCAGCAGGAGATGAGATCGAATGGATTGACACCGGCCGACAGTTGGCAGACTGCCTGACCAAGAGCATGAAACCTGACTTTCTTGTCAGGGTGCTTGCTGCTGGGTACATCAACCTGAAGAAGCCGAACTGAGAGACCTGAAAACATGTACAGAGACAGGAATAGTAATGAATGTACTACTGAAGTACCTGAATGCGATAGTCTGGTAGCTATTTTGGCAATTCCAATAGGAATAGTAATAGAGTTGCGTGCCTTGTTTTTGTATATAGCACTGCGCATTCACACCAGTAGATAAGACGGGTGTGATTCCACGCTGTCACATGCATGGTCTTAGAGATGCCTGGTTGTGAATGATTGTCAAGTCACGCACCTTTTGGCTTAAACCTTTGGGGCCCTTGAGCTTTTCGTGGCGACGAACAAAAGGATCCAGCCGAGATTCAAACATGTTTTTTCCCATACAAGGGGGTGGTCATGAAGTAATATGGCGTGATGGATCCACCATGAGGATTCTCATTTAATGGGATTGATGACCGTATACCATGATGTGATCATTGCACATATTAATGTTTGGCCATGTATTATGGCAAACCACATTAGATATTACACTGGAGATTGGAGATTTTGTTCTGAGAGAACCTTCTGGTCAATTAAACGCAACATGCTTTACTTTCGTCACGCCCAACAGACCTTGAACAATCCATGTTCAATACCATTGTTCAGCACAAGTCTCTTTAATTTCCCTGTCATTATCTCCTAGCGGTCCTAGCGTATTAGTGGATGCAACTCCGATTTGAGCAGGAAAACCCCGTCGCATATCAAGGCCATCATGGGCCATGAAGCTATGACCATGAAAAATCTTCAACTCAGGGGTTTTGCAGCAGTTGTTTTTGGATTTGGTAAACTGTAGTCCCTTCCCCCATATTACTCCATATGAAAAAATGATACCTCTGGCAAACACTTGGCTCCAATCAATTGTGCGTCCCTATTGGGGTATTATTGTTAGGAGAAGGGGTTAACCGATCCTGATTTACAATTCCCCCTTTTCACAGACGATCTACTCTACGTTTTGAACAGGCAAATTCACAGCGAAATTCCATGGATTTGGCCTTTTTGCAGGTACTGTGACCACGGAGTGGTGGTGAATGGTGACCACGTCACTTGGTTTCAACTAGGTAACCTTGGTTTGGCAGGTTAGATTGCTTAACCTGCGGGCAAATCTTTAGCGATTGGTTTGTGAATTGTTTTTTTTTCAGAATGCAAATGAAGGATAATTGGCAAACACTGGTTTATTCAAACCATAGTTTGAACCAGACATAGGGTTTCCCGGCTATTTTAAGAGTCAACATGATCATTAACCAGTCAAGCCATTGGGCGTTAGGTGGCCAGCCTGGATCTGGCTGACCTTTATATTACTCTTGGGCTCACTGTTGCCCAACCACCAACCAATTATATCATGCACACACAATTTTACAGAATATATCAATTCGTTCAATTCGTGCTATCCCCACGTTTGTACTCCGTTCTCTTTGGATCTCATTGGTATGTGTCGCCATTATATAATGTTATAGTTCATTACTTGTTCTTTTTTGATTGTGATTGTTCATCTTATCATTATGACAATTATTATTGTTGATTGGTAATTAGTAATTGGCATTAGTATTACTACGGCACTCCAATTTTCATCTGTTTGCTGGTTTCAAGTTTCAAACATGTTTTTCTTAATCAATCCTGATTTGGACTGATAATCCAACGGACTACCATTCTGACAAGGGGTGGAAATTGGTCATTTTACCTTTGGGGTCTTGGGAGCAACCCTGATCTGGTAAACATGGCCGTGGCTGGACCATCCCCCATTGAGTTCGATGATTGAGACAAATTGAGACCACCAGATTTTAAGGTGATTTTCCGGCTTGTCATGGATTATATATATATATATATTTTACCTGAAATCACCAAAATCTATGGTTATTTTTGGTGATTTACCGACGTGAGGTCACGTCCTATGGACTTTTCTCTGAACACTGTCAGAAAGACCTGCTGGCGCCTTGGCAAGCTACGGTGGCTTATGACTCCTGAAGGTTAACATGGAACCACCATATGAACCATATGCAAATGATCAATTTTGCCGGGGCGAAGGTTGTGGGCTAAAGGTGGCTACGAGCAAAAGCCACTGACTGAGCGAATCAACTCGTCCGTATAAGTTCAAAATGGGTTCCAAAGCTGGTTTCCAGTGGGAGTCAAAAATCCCCAACACGGTCTCTAGTGCAGGATAAGGAAACTTGAATTAAAATGAACCAACTTGCAGGATGAAGATTGTTGACCCAACCTCGCCTGGATAGATTCCACAAAGCTTGGAGTGTGGGGGGGTTGGGAGCAACCGTGTGAATGGGTGATTTATGGAGTAAACGCCGGTGGCGTTACAGATGCTATATGCACATTGCAATGGTATATAGTTCATTTAAGATACACACACACATATATATATAATATATAATATATATAATATATATATTATATATATAATATATATAATATATATATAATATATATATTATATATATACAGATGTATGATATACATTCTATTACATTATTAGATGAATGGTATAACATATAACTACACACATATATATTTATATACACACACTATATCACATTATTTTTTCCATTAAACAAATTCATGATGTTTCTTTCACACGACTGGAATTCATCATTGGCTCATTCCGAAACGCCAGGTGTGGAACGGCGAGCACGGCCGAAGTGTGTTTTTCCAGAGCGAGATGAACTCCTTTGCTCGTGAGCCCTGGGACGATACGCCCAACTATGGGGAGAAGCTGGGTGGAAACTCCAGTGGAAATTCCCATGGTGTTTTTTTCGGATGGTTTCTTCCCATGTTTTTTTTTAGAGTTCAACCGTACATTTTCCAATCCAATGAATAAACAATGTTGCAATCCATTGTTTTCGCAATGTTTTCGCAAACCCAAATACCTATGGCAAAAAGTTGGGAGACTCAAAGCCTACTAGTTACTAGCGATAAATCACTTTAGTACACTTTACTATCGTTTTTTGAAATATATGCTGTAACATGCTATGTTTATGGCATATGGGTATGCATCGAACATTTGCTATGAACAAAAAAACGCCACATTGTGGCTTTCGGTAATCAGAATGGCTGGCTTAGTATAATCTGATTTGACCTCAAATGAATTCATAAGTAAGCATCATTCTCATATTTGCATATACAATTTACATCAATTTACATTAATTTCCTGTGGTTCAACAATGTTTACCCCCCAAGTGTTCGGTTTCAGAGATTCCAACGTGCCAGGAACGGTGTCAGCGGATACCGCGTCAACGCCCAGCATCACGTGGGCATGGGTATCGGGGTCTATGCCTACTTCCTCCAGCCGGGCAACGTTGTGGCGGCTGGTCACTGGGCGGAGTCGTAGAGGGGTCATAAGATCATAACATTGTTTTTTATTTTGCATCAGTAGTTAAGGTGGCCCAAAGGCCACCAGATATCTCTGTCGTTTCTGCTGGTCGGTAAATTCATTAAACATCATTAAACATTATATATATATATATATATATATACATATATATATATATATAAGATAATCCGATTTTTTCAAACGGTATACATCCGTAGTTTATTGAATGGAAGAATGGGTGTTAACAATTTATCTATGTCATGTTTCTATATCCAGCCAGGTATGTTGGTTTCTAAGTATACCATAGGATGGTAATCCCCCATACAGACTGCCGGACTGTGTTTTGTTGTTTTTTGGCCAGTTAGAACGTGTTGAAATAGGGGATTTATGACGGTATGTGTAATATGATGTGATTATATATATGCGAATAGAGTGTAGGCTACGGATCAAGTATAATATCACAACTAAACACTCTGTGATCCAGCACCAAAGGGGCAATCCGAACTGGCCTCTTTGGCTCAAGACCCACTGCAGCACTGGAGAAAAGATCAGCAATGCGGAAGCAGCTGCCCGTGTGACGTCGTCGAACTGGAACATTTATTCTCAACATCAACCATTGGAACATAATCGGGTAGGCAATCCCCGATTCGCAGGTTATCAGCCGTAGGACTCCTACGGAGCCTACGAGCGGGGAGCCGCGGGCCTTACAGATGACTGAACAGGATAGCAGCGATAATGCATTTTCTTTCTCTGGACATGCCGTTGCACCAGCTGCCGGCACGCAGTCAAATTCTTCACAGAGTATCGACACTGGTGGAAGCGATGCCTCAGAACTGAGAACAAGCCAACCCAGGCGACATCTGGTTGCTCCTAGAGGGAGACAAATTTCGACAATGCAAGCAATTGAAGATAGGGACAGCACACCTGGAAAGAGAAGATCATCTGCACGACAATTGTCGCCTCCGATGACTCCAAGGACTAAGGCAAAGACTACGTCGTCGAATCCGCCTTCACCGATTCAGGACGCTACTCCATCAGGGACAGGATCTTATCAGAAAGTGAATGCCCCGTCAAGTGGTAGCGACATCTTCACTGCCTATCAGAGTGAATTAACTGAGTACAAAACATCACTGGAAAGGGCCACTGAAGAAGAATCTGTACTTCAGGCAAGATTGAGTGAGACGACAGCATATGCCTATCAACAATTTAATTTCCTGGAAAGCACCACTCATCAAGAGATGATGTCGATGACCGAACAACTCCAGATGCTGAACTTCGAGTTACAGGCTGCACAACAGGAAGATGAAGGTGCGACCTACAGGATCGAAGAGTTGGAAAGGTATCAGACTATGTCGAATGAAGCTGCATCTCATTTGGAATTCAAATATTCACGACTACGTTCGGAATTCGATGAACAAATGGGACAAGCAAACGCAATTATGGTACATGTGGGAACTGACGCGAATGCTCACATCAATCAACTCAGACTGGAACTGGAAAACGCAGAGATGAATGCCAAGCAAGAAGCTCTAGCAGTCGGCTATGCTAATGACCAAACATGTGCTTTGCAGATCGAGATGCTCGAGGTTGCCAATCAGAACCAGACGATGAAACACACCATGGCCATGAATGTCAGGCGACTGGAAACTGAGTTAGATGCTGCTGACATGAAGAGGGACGAGATCATGAAGGAGTTCCGTAGTAACATAAGATCTGAACATGACCGTTATGCAGAATGTGAACATCACTTAGCTTTGGAAGAATCTCAGCTTCGATTACAGGTGATCCACAGTGAGAACTTACAATCTCGACTAGCGATTTCTGAGAACAGGGTTTCTGAAGAATCTCTAGCTGAATCAGGTGGCATGCGGGACATGAGGATAATGGGACTACGTTCTGAACTACACATGAAACAAAGTCTTTTAGATCGAATGCAACAGCAACTGACTGAATCGAAGAATCAGTATCATGAACTTTCCTGTCAACAAGCCAGAAGATCTTCACCAAGCAGATCACCGCATGGAGGACCTATATACGAGATGTACATGCAAGCCGTGCGTGAACGTGACAGCTTGAAAGAGTCCAAGGCCGAAGTTGACAAGTTGTACTTGCAGAATAGATCTGAACTCATTGACACTGAGGACCTGCTCAAAGTCTTCCAGCGAAACTTTGATGAAACTGGTAAGAAATATCAAGATGCTCTGAACAAGATCGATCACATGAGCAACAATCCGAATGTGACGAGTACCTTGTTTGACAGTTTGCACAATGAACTCAATGACAGGGATACAGCTATTGCTCGCTTTCATACTGAACTTGAAGCCCAAAAGGACTCTCTTGAGCGTGCTCACAGGGATGCAGGTAAGTCCATCAAGATGTTGAACGACAGAAGGCTCGTGATCAAAGGTGCGACTGACTATTCCATTCCTGAAAGCCATTTGACCGAGATGCATCAATTGGCCAATGAGCGTTACGCTGAGGTAGAAGAAATGTCGAGCACCATTGCTGCCCTGAAGTTGGAAAACCAAGCTCATTCTTCTTCATCAATGAATAGACCGACTACATTACATGGGTACCCCAGTAATGCCATGCCCCGGAATGAATGTGAAGAGAAGTGTGCCAAACTGAAAGCAGAGTTGGACGAGATGAAGCAAGAGAGGAACACAAATCTTCAAGATGAGTTGAAGAAGATGGAAGATCGTAAAGACTACTATAAGAACAATTTCTCTCAAGCTGAAGATCGTGCCAATGATGAAGAGCAGGAATACCGAGCAGAAGCTGAAGCCTTCGAGAAGCTCAGGAACGAGTACAACACAAATGTCAAGGAGTTGGAGAACCTTGAAAGGGATAGATCCAAGTCATCCGTATCTCTAAGAGAAGCCGAAAAGATCAGCCTCCAACCCTGGCCTAAGACCACTGAACTTTCATCCTGGAAGGGAAGTGTCGTTCATGAAGTTTGCGTTGCAAGTGGAGATCGAAACTATGAAGATTGGAAGGCGTGGTTAGCTCCGTGTCTTGCAGATCAACCTGACTTGGAGGCGCTGGCCAAAGCTCCTGATGTGAGATTCCAATCCATTGATGCCAAGCTCTCCAATGCCTTGAGGAAAGTCATTGACAATGCTGGGGACAAGTCCATGCAAGTGAAGTATGACATGTCCATGAAGAACCAATTGTATGGGAGAAGTGGGGACTTCATCAAGGGACGAGAACTATTTGCAATGATATTGATTAGCTTCAAGTCACCTGACCACACTGAAGTTCTCTACAATGCCCATCATTTGTATATGTTCAACTACTATGGAGACGACCAACTTGAGGCCTTCTACAACAAGTGGCTTGACATCGTATACAATATGAAACATGATGATCTGCCTTCCAACAATTCCCTGCGTGACACATTGTTCCGGAAGATTGAACATTCAAAACTTATGGCCTTCGATATCAACCGATACAAAACCTTTGATGAAGGGCATCATGAGAAGACCTATGCTTACCTAACTGGTATGATCAAGGGATACATAGCACGAGGGAAGCAAGAACGACTGTTGAAAGATAGAGAACGTGCAGTGAAACTGTCATTGTCCTCTAACAAGACGGCACCTGCCTTAGAAGATGCAGACAAGCCTGCCGCTCCCGTCAAGACCAAGAAGGAGAATGAAGCGGCTGCATCGTCTACAGGTGATCCTCCCAAACGTCCTAAGGCGAGAGCGAAGAGTGAAGCTGCATCGGTACTTCCTACACCTTCTCCGAAGTCCCATGCCGACAAGAACAACAAGAAAGGCAAAGGTGTGAAGGGAAGATCATCTTCACCCGTTGACAAGAAGAAGATTTTCTGTAACTACTTCTTCAATAAAGGAGGATGCAACAAAGGTGACAAATGTTTTTACAGTCATTCTCAGAAGGTCTATGATGCCAAGATGAAAGGTAAGAAAGGCAGAAGCGGAAGTCGAGATTCATCAGAGGGAAAGGTAGAGGAAGTTCATCTTCAGCTGGACCCAAAAAGAAGGTATGTTGGAATTGGCAAGAAGGTACCTGCAAGTTCGGAAACAAATGTAAATTCCTACATGCAGATAAATCGCCTTCAGCATCCTCAGAGAGAACCAGCAAGAAGACACCAAAGAAGAAGGCGACTCCCATTACCATTGATTCCTTCTTTGATAGCGACAATGAAGATTCCATGGATTATACCTCACCGAGGATAGCCAGTGCAAAGAAGTCTTCTGATGATCGCAGGATCTCATTTGATCTGGAACCTGAGATGCACGAGATCGCCATTGAGGACTACCAGGAGGGACTACCCAAACGTATGTATCGTGACCCCAACAAGCAATATGTTTTCTGGAAAGTCGATGATTTGACCGACGATCAGTCCAAGTCCGACAACACCCTCGGTTCAGTCCGAGCACGGGCCAAGGCTATCATCATGGACAGATGTGGACTCCATCGTTTTGTTGATGAAGTTAGAATCATTATTGGCCCCAAGTTCGACATGTTGATCAAACTGGACAATGATCGTGATGACTTGACTTTTATTGAAGAGCTTGTTGAACACGAAGTTGGAAACTCCCTCATGAAGTCCAAGAACATGATGTGCATTTCACTACCAGTGCAAGCCAAAGATCGTAGATTCATCCTGGATTCTGGCAGCGGGCATGATCTGATTTCTGCAAGGAAAGCCGAAAGGATGAACTTGAAGCAGCGAACTTGTGATCCTATCATGTTCCACACAGCCAACGGTTCAACTGCTACTCAGACAGAAGCAGAGATTGACCTGGGAACCTTTGATGTGACCTCTCATGCCTATGTACTGGACGACACTCCGTCCGTGATGTCTCTTGGGAAACGATGCATGGAAGAAGGGTATTCCTTTGTATGGCCATCTGGTAAAATGCCTTTCATGATTACGAAGAATGGAGAACGCATCGATTTGACAATCCATGACAACATCCCCTACGTTGATCTTGGAACTTACGAATGCACTCCTCATGAATGTCATCATGCATCAAAGATCCATGACC